GGCTGAGGGTGCTGTAGCAGGTCGCCGATTCCGCCCGCGGCACGGCCGGATAAGATGCGGCTGCTGTCATGGGCGGGCCCAAGGTGTGGCGGAGGCGGCAGACTGGCTGTGCAGGAGTGGCTGATGGCGCCGAGGTGCTCGTGGCTTTGCATGCCAATTTCGTCGATGAGCACAGCGCCGTCGCCGACGTTGCGTTTTACTTGAAGGCCAGCATGTGCGCCGCGCTTAGGAAAGTTGGTGCCACGGGAGCCGCTTTGGCTGGCTGAGATGCCGAACATGGAGTGGGTAGATAGGCTGCGATGGACTGGGGTGTTGAACGCGATCGCGGCGGCCCAAGAGTATGCGCACGTGGCGGCCCAGTCAGGACTGTCATGTTGGTACGTGTACCACAGCAGTGCGTGTACGAACTGAGTCTTGCCTGTGCCCGGAGGACCCATGACGAGCATTTGCGGTGGGACACCTGGATCGGGTTGGTTGCGGCGGTCGAAGTAGCGTGCCATGAGCATGAATGGCACGGCCTGATCCGGCGCCAGGGTAAACAGCTCGATGGTTTCATCGATGGTCGGCGGCCGTGCTAAACGCAAGTAGGTTGGCATTCCCGCTGTGATACGGTCAGATTGTTGGGTGCCGTTTACGAGTACCGCTACGAGTGGGTAGCCGGGGCGGCGATCCAATTGCAGACGGGGTGTCCGTTCAGTGGTGGTCGGCGTGGTTGTGGTGCCTTCAGAGACGACTAGATAGCGCTTCAGGCGCTTAGAAGCTTCACTTAGCAGCGCGACGTCAGTGGCCCGTACACGGCGAATGAAGGGGTTGGTGTTCGCGCCGAGTGCATCAGGGAGAGGAAGTACACGGCAACGGCGAGCTGCACCGTAGGCGTAGAGGCCTTCCACCGTGGTGCGGTCGTATAGGTCCGTTAGGGCGATGTCGGGTAGGTTGATCCCCATCGTCGGGTCGCCTTGGCCTGGCACAAAGTCATACCGTTCGAGCTGGGCGTCTTGCGGCGGCTGTGTGGTAGGATCGGGTTCGAGATGGCGTCGTGCAGCTTCTGGGTCTTCATCGTCTGGGTCGCTGGAACTGTTTTCGGGAGCCAGACCGGCGTTTGCAGCGGCAGTACGGCGTAGGCGACGTCGCAAGTTGTAATCGGCTTGACGTCGGGCGCCGGCGATGTGTTCTGCTTCGATGTTGTCTAGTAGGACGCTGATACAGGCTCTGTATGATCGGCCAGTCTCAGTGGTTCCCAGGTCCATCCACCATGCGTCGTACGCCTCTTTCACTGTCTGATCGGCAGCCACTGGTTGGCCACGGTGGGCCTTAAAGACTCCTAAAACGAACGCATAGTAGGCGGTGGCGGCTGCGGTGGTGCTTTCTGCTTGCGGGCGACGGGGCAGTTTGCCACCCAACACAACGTACCTGGTTGCGCTAGGCGATGAAGTACGTGCGTCAGATATAGNGGGTGCGTTGGTTGGAAGGCCACATTCTTGGGAGATATGGTTGACGTTGGGTTAGTGGGCAGCTGTTCCACGGATGGGCCGGCTGGTGCAGGGGACGTCAATGGAGTGTCGGGCTGGTTGCCAGATGGAGCGCGAGGTGCGTCAGTCGTAGGGGTAATGGCGGCGCCAGGGACCTTGCGTTTGCGGCGGCCAGGTACGGCGTGGGTTTGAGCGCCAAGGACGGCAGCATGAGGGTGTTGCGCGGGTGTTACACGTTTCACCTCGAAGTTGGATGCGATGGTGTAAGTGCTGCAGTCCAAGCCGCTCAGCTCCACACCACGTTGCGTGTAGTTTTGCACAACGTTGGCGAGGGTGTAGTCGCCATGTTCGTCCGCCTCTACAAGCTCCACGCCGGTTTCCGCGTCTTCTGGTTCCACAGCGGAATCGGATGCCAGTGCAGTGAAGGCGCCTGTCGCCAGGTAGTTGCGTTTGTAGGTTGCTTGGAACGTGTCGTGGCCCGATAGTTTGAAAGCAACCAGTGCCATGCCGGCCGTGATGGTAGCCGTCATGCGATGCACCGCGGTACACAGGTTGCCGAACACGCTGGGTTCATGACCAGTGGCACTGGGTTGGTGACCTGCCATCATGAAGTCCTGTACACGCCCTACGGCGGTACATGTGAGGTGCGCCTGGCTGCGTTCGATTGTCTTCGCAGTGTACTTGGAGCTGTAGTACGCAGCGTCACGGGCGCGATCAATGGCGGGTTGTAGGAGGGGGCAGTCGCCGCGTTCGTTGATGGGACGCGCTAGTTGGGCGGCGATGTCAGCCGTGTAATCCCGGTCGACTTCGCAGGCCAGGGACATCAGATGGTTGCATCCGAAGGCCAGAGCAATCGCAGGCATGTGCGGCACCAGGTTGGATGCGAGGCGGGGCAGCAAAAATAGACCGGTGGTACCGACCCACTGGAAAGCTGTGCGGATAAATCGGGGAAAGGCCATGCCGCAGCTGTCGTCGGTGCCACGGCAGCCGTGCCGCTTGCATGTTGAACTGTGGGTGTGGGTGAGGGTGCTGCGTATGGCGGCAGCATGATGGGCACGGCAGGCGCAGTGCCGGGATGGAGGTGT